TGATCATGAAAGATTTTAAATGTTGCAGAATTAAAGGTTTGAAGACTGGTCTTTAAAAAGTTTAACCACATTTTCCTACTAGCTTTTTTAAAACCACATTTTCCTTCTAGCTTTTTTTAAATATATAAGCTTCACTTCATAACTTCCCTGTCTCTGGGAAGTGTTTTAACAGTTTTCTCAGAACATATCCAGATTCTTATTTGTTATATACCATTTATAGCTGGGGGGGTTTAAATACATCAGTTCAGAAATGAAATCATGCAAAATGTATCGTCATTGTTATAAAAGAGAGATTTTTCAAAGTGTTTAATGTACTTAGAAAATGAATTTCAGTTAAAAGATACAGGCTAGAACTGTAAGAAATCCAGCTCTTGATGTTTTTAAACTATATTTCCAAATGCTTTCTTGAAGACAAGGGCTTCTTGTACTTTGCCAAATTTCTGCTACTCTGGAGAGTACACAGATGACTGTTTAATACTATGTGCCACTAGACAAGAATCTTATTTCAAATTGTAATGAACAAATATTTTCTCTTAAACTGGTCCATGTTTATAAACCAAATTAGATAGCTTTAGACACCTACAAAACATGTAGCTATGAAGGGGCAAGCTAACTACAAAATTTTTTTTTTTTTTTTAAGAAACGTTTTCCCAGAACAGGCACCTCCAGGGTACACTCAGTTTGGATTCCATACTAATTTGTAGGAATAAGGTCATCATGTATTATAGTCTTTGGTTATTTGCAAGGCAGATACAGGAAATTCCAAGTTTGAAGGATGGGAAGGTTTTAGACTTTGCTCCTGCTTCTAACAAATATTACAGGGCAAGGCCTACACATTCAATAAATATAAGTGCAGTTAGACACTTAAAAGAAAAGCTAGTTCTTAATCCTGCTTCCATTGAAAATAACTTTTGCCATTAATTTCAATGGGAAAAAGATTGGGCCCTTATGGTGGGGAAGAGGGAATCATAGAACCGTAGAGCTGGAAAAGACCTCAGGTCATCAAGTCCGGCCCCTTGCCCTAGGCAGGACCGATCCCAACTAAATCAACCCAGCCAGAGCTTTGTCATGCCGAGACTTAAAAATCTCTAGGGATAGAGACTCCACTACTTCCCTAGATAACCCATTCCAGTGCTTCACCACTCTTCTAGTGAAATAGTTTTTCCTAATATCCAACGTCAACCTCTCCCACCTAAAAGAAGAGAAACTTTTCTATTAAAATCTTTTAGGATACTGAAAAAAGTTACAATGAAGATAATTCCTATGAATTTGAGGAAATCTTTCTCCTAAAAAAGGTAAGTTCTTTAAGTGGCTATGTCTTGACTGATGTGCTTTAAGGCCCCAATTTAGCAAACAGATAAGCATCTACATACCCTTGATAAAAAGTCTTTAAAGATCCACAGGTCCTACACATGCCTCTCACAACATGCAGTGTACTTCATCCAGTCCACTGCATGTCCTGGTAACAACTAACTGTGGGGGGAAAGAGGTGAGGACAATCACTATGTTCTCAAATAATACTCACTCAAATAAATGATACAAGGCAAAAATACCATATCAACTGTGGGTGAACACTTTTTTCACAAAGTTATCACTCTGGCTGATGTATCGGTACTCATCCTCACAGAAAACCTGCACAACACTTTCAAAAGACAAGCCTGGGAGCTTAAATTCATAATTTTGCTAGACACTAATAATCATGGACTGAATTGAGACATTGGATTTGTGGCTTATTGCAGCAATCTATAACCTGCTAACAACCTCCCAAGCTGCCTTCCGCACCTTTCCCTCCCCTCTTTTGACTGGAAGGTTAACAGCCCACTTCACCATGAATGGTCCTTGAAATGTGTTAGCCATAACAAAAATGAAAAAACATGTTCCACATAGGCGTCTGGTAGTCTAGGCTAGGGAATACATTGCCTTCCCAAACTGCCAGGCACAGCCCCACCTACACTCTGCCCTCAGAACACCTGCTGCAGGCATTCTGGGGGTGGAGTGTTTATGCCCCCAGCACCCACTCTCCCCATGCTCCAGGCCAGGGAGACTGGAGTCACGCAGCCTTCTCCCTCCCTGGTGCTCTAGGGACCAGGGAGACGAGCCTAGAGCCGTGCAACCTCCTCCCTCTCCAGTACTCCAGAGACTGGGGCACACGGATGCACTGCCTCCTCCCCACCCCATGGGGAGGTCTTCAGCAAGCGGGGGGGTTGCAGGTGGGGCTGGGGGCCTGCCTGCCTCAGCCTCAGCCGCACCAGCTGCCCAAGCTGTTCCACCTCATATTTAGCATATAGTTGAAACTATAGTAAAGAATAAAATTGTCAGAAACATGGATGAATATAATTCGTTGGGGGGAAAGTCAACATAGTTTCTGTAAAGGGAAATCATGCCTTACTAATCTGCTAGAGTTCTTTGAGGGGGGTCAACAAACAAGTGGACAAGGGGGATCTAGTGGGATATAGTATGCTTAGATTTCCAGAAAGCCTTTGACAAAGTCCCTCACCAAAGGCTCTTAAGTAAAGTAAGTTGTCATGGAATAAGAGGGAAGATCCTTTCATGGATTGATAACTGGTAAAAAGACAGGAAAAAAAGGGTAGGAATAAATGGTAAGTTTTCCAAGTGGAGAGAGGTAACTAACAGGGTCCCCTAAGGGTCAGTCCTGAGACCCATCTGATTCAACTTATTTATAAATGATCTAGAGAAAGAGGTAAACAGTGAGGCAACAAACTTTGAAGATGATACCAAACTGCTCAAGATAGTTAAGACCAAAGCAGTCTGGGAAGATCTTCAAAAAGATCTCACCAAACTATGTCTACACTGCCGGGTTATTTTGTAGAAGAGGAAATAAAAACCGTGCTTACATTTGCATATGTTCTTCCAATTCTTTTTGCAAAAGAGGTTTTTCCAATAAAAAGTTCCATGTAGACGGGGCAATTTGTTGGAAAAAACTCGTCTTTCACAAGATCCTGTAAACCTTGATTTTTGAGGAATAAGGGATTTTGCAAAAGAGGGTATTTTTTTTCCCCAAAAATGGCCCCGTCTACCTGGGACTTTTTATCAGCAAAACGTCTTCCGGAAAAAAATTAGAAGAAGATGTGCAAATGTGAGTGCGATTTGCATATCCTCTTCTACAAAAAAAGGCAGTGTAGCCATAGCCTGAATGATTGGGCAACAAAATGGCAAATGAAATTTAATGTTGATAAATGTAAAGTAATGCACACTGGAAAAAATAATCCCAACAATACATACAATATGATGGGGACTAATTTAGATATAACTACTCAAGAGAGATCTTGGAGTCATTGTGGATAGTTTTCTGAAAGCATCCACTCGTGCAGTGGCAGTCAAAAAAGCAAACAATGTAAGAAGTAATTTAAAAAGGGATAGAGAATAAGACAGAGAACATCTTATTGCCTCTATATAAAACCATTGTACACCTACATCTTGAATACTGCATACAGATGTGATCGCCTCGTCTCAAAAAAGATATATTGGCATTGGAAAAGGTTCAGAAAAGGGCAACAAAATTTATTAGGGGTTTGGAACAGGTCCCATATGGAGAGAGATTAAAAAGAATGGGACTTTTTCAGTTTACAAAAGAGGAAACTGAGGGGGGAGGGTATGATAGAGGTCTATAAAATCATGACTGATGTCGAAAAAGTGAATAAGGAAAAGTTATTTCCTTATTCCCAGAATATAAGAACTAGCGGTCACCAAATGAAATTAATAGGCAGCTATAATTCTAGGCTTCTGCGTAGTCCTAGTCACTTAGGGCATACTCACACTACAAATCTAGGTCTAATTTATTTAGCATTCAAATTTATAAAGTCGAAGGTGCATGTCCTCACTGGCCACATGAAGTCAACACAGTGCAACCCCAAGTACTGTTGATTGTAACAAGTATCAGAGGGGTAGCCGTGTTAGTCTGAATCTGCAAAAGTGGCGAAGAGTCCTGTGGCACCTTATAGACTAATTGAAGTGTTGGAGCATAAGCTTTTGTGGGCAAAGACCCACTTCGTCAGATGCATGTAGTGGAAATTTCCAGAGGCAGGTATAAATATGCAGGCCAGAATCAGGCTGGAGATGACGAGGTGGATCCAATCAGGGAGGATGAGGCCCACGTCTAGTAGCTGATCTGGAGGTGTGAATTCCAAGAGAGGAGAAGCTGCTTTTGTAGTTAGCAAGCCATTCACAGTCTTTGTTTAATCCAGAGTTGATTGTGTCAAACTTGAAGATGAACTGTAGCTCAGCAGTTTCTCTTTGAAGTCTGGTCCTGAAGTTTTTTTGCTGCAGGATGGTTACCTTTAGATCTGCAATTGTGTGTCCAGGGAGATTGAAGTGTTTTTGTATGTTGTGATTCCTAATATCTGATTTGTGTCCATTGATTCTTTTACGTAGGGACTGTCCAGTTTGGCCGATGTATATAGCAGTGGGGCATTGTTGGCACATGATGGCATGTATTACATTAGTAGATGTGCAGGAGAATGAACCAGTGACAGTATGGCTGATCTGGTTAGGTCCTGTGATGGTGTTGTTATAATTTTTGTACTTTTTATACCCCAAAATTTCATTGCCTGCCTGGCTATCATTAAGTTGTTTAAACAAATGTGTTGCAATGGTAGAAAAAAAATTGTCTGAAAACTATAGGTACTGGGGGTACTTATATTTTTAAAGGGGTACTTTATAAAAAAAAATGGTGGAGAAACACTGATCCAGAGGAATCCCTGATTCTCAGGAACTATGATTTTGCTTCTTTCTACCTTGCTTCTCTTCCTTTCATAAATGTAGTGTACCACTTCAATAATAATCTATGGAGGAGCAACTGGAAAGCCACAGGCTGAAGGTGGTTGTTGAATATGTGTTGGCTGTGTAACAGCAGGAGCTATGCTTCTAGTGTGTGTTATGCATGTTTTTGAGAAATCAGCGATGTCTGCAATGTCCCCGTGGTTAAGTACACAGTGCTCATGTGTCTGTATCAGGAGACTATGCGCGTGTATAAGGTTCCATTCCGGGAGCGTACAGTTGGCGTTTGAACGCTACAGTGGATGCCTAACTGCTGCTGGTAGCGCGCAGCCAGGTTTGCTGACAGAGGAAATAGCGGTTGGGACCCTGGGCTTCCACGTTATGGAAATGCCATTGGCTAGCGCACAGTAGCTGAGGTTCGGCTCCTTTTCCTGTCAGGGACTGAGCGCCAGCGGGGACATGGCAGCGGCCACAACCAGCAGAAGCCCTGCGAGACCGGGAGATGGGGCTAGTGGCCTGAGGAGAGTTTCTAGGGTCGCGCGGATCCCCTGAAAATCTCAGACGGAGGACCAGCCTCTCAACTTCAGTGCGCATGCGCGGGCCGTGAGTGCTCTTCCTCTCCCCCTCCCTTCTGCCTCCTTGCCCCTCGGGGACGGTTGAGCCAGCTGGAGGCTCGAGGCAGGGTTGCAGCTTCTTCCATTCCAGTGGGCGGAGGAACTGTCTACCCGGCAGCCTCTGCGGCTGGCTTTCGGTTACCCTAGCAACCGGCCCTGAACTAGACGGCTTGGGGAGCCGCGCGTGGTTCCGTCACATCGCTCACTAAGGCTGGTGCTGGTCCGCTGGCGGGGGCGAGGCGCGTGGTACGCGAGGGCGCCCGGGCGCCCGGTCATGCAGCTCAAGGGGGTGTCTGGGGAGAAGGGGTGGCTCTGGAGAGGAGCGGGGAGGGGATCGGGAGGAGGGACAAGCCACTGCCGTCGGGTGACGGGGATGGGGAGGATGGCAGGGGAGATGCTGCAGCCGATGGGGCAAATGCGGGATGATCAGGGAGATGCGGCGCTGCCCACATTGGGTTAGCCGGGCCGGGAGGAAGTAGGGAAGTGATGGGTGGAATGAGGATGGCAGAAGGGACTCAGTGATTAGGTGGGTCAGGCAGCAGGGGGACAGCTACATGTGGCTCCATAGTATGTAAGGCCTGACAGCCTTGGTGTATGGTCTGAAGTCTATGTCCTTGCATTTCAGCTTCTGCCTTTGCATTTCAGCTGCTGCTTAGTTTCTTATACTTAATTTCTTTTTGTATTGCTGACTTGAGCCGATCATGCTCTTGGCTTAAAAATAAGATTCTTAAAGCAATACATGTGGGGTTGATTGATACTATGTGTCTTTGGGGTTGGCACAAAAAAATGTCAAGCTTTGGTCCACAACCATTAAAGCTCGAACTGGTTTTTTTGTTTTGGGTTTCATTTGTTTGTTTTTTAGTTTATAAAAAAAGCTTAGATTCTCATGTAGTCTCACAAATCCAGGAGCTAAGGATTTAAGAGAAAACACAACTATCAGGGGAGCTGGTAACAAGATGCTCTCCATGGTTTGTCTCAAGACCAGGCCACTGGTAAAATTGTAGGGGAAAGCTTAAGGAGAATCTGCTCAGCTCTTTTTGAATTGAGTGAGCAGGAAAAAGTATATTTTCCCTGTTGTAGAAAACAACTTTATTTAATTTTATTTATGTTCAGCTGGACCTGGTGAACTTTAGACTTTGCATGTGGTCGGTCCTGCCTAAGACTATTCTATGGGGCAGTAGAAACAATACCTGGCCACTTTTACATAAATAAATAATTCCTGAGAGTTCCTAACCCTAATTTCAAAAGCACTTTTATCAGCAGTTGATCAATTTAGACCAAATCTAGGAAGCTTGAATTACATCTAATATCCTAAAAGTAGGGATGTAAATACACATTAAAACAGTTAACTGATTAAACAATTAAAATTATATAATTTAACCGGTTAACTGTTGGAGGGGTGGTGAAGAGCAGCAGGGACTGCGTTCCCACCAGAGCTGCAGTACTGCCCTACAATAAATTCCAGAAACAGGAGTTGAAAATAAGGAGGCCACAATAGTTTATAAAAGTGGAGGCTTCTGTTTATAAATATCTTGCAGTAAATGTAAAAGGAATTGCATAGGAAAAATTACATTAAACTTTAATGAGATTTTAGTAAAAAAAATGTTTGACTTTTCCAGATTTTCTGTAGACAGACACTAATCTTGTTTGTTCCTTTTGTTTTTAAGGAACTTTTGAAAAGCCATTTGCAAGACTATATGGAATGCTAGTGATATCAAAACAGTTTCGGCAAACATTTGGCTAACTGCAGAATTATGGTTCGACTAACCTTGGATCTAGTTGTTAAAACTGTCAGTCACAAAAACTACAAAGAAGAGTCCCTGGCACAGTACCTGAGAAAGATAACTCACCTGAACTTATCAGATAAAAATATTGATACAATTGTAAGAGCTTTTTCATAAATCATGAAAATACTACTTTTAATTTTTATCTCAGTTTTATAGTGGGGGGTTTAGGATGTTTTAGTGCTGTTTTTTGATGACTTGTTAATTGTTGGGAGTAGGGATGTTAGCATATAGTTGTGTAAATGATTAACCAATAAGGTTGGGCTTATCAGTTCATCCAAATGATTACACACACTCTCCCCGCCTTGCTGCCTCTGTATCAGAAGCTGGTGCCTCTGGAGAGCTAGCTGTTAAGTTGGCTTCTTCCTGAGCACCAGATCCCACAGAGCTGCCTGCCACCCTTATCCCCACGCTACTGCCTCTGATAGGTGGTAGTTGGTACACTGGGGTGGGCAATAATTTTAGATGGGGGGCCACATCACTAATTTTTGAAGTGGCCCAGAGCCACCCTGGAAAGGGTGGGGCCTTGGGTGGAAGCAGCAGGGCCAGGACACTTCTGTGCTCCCCTGCCCACAGACGCTGATTGGCCTAGGGGGTGGGGGAGCACACAAACTCTTTGCCCCTGCTCTCCCCCTGCCTAGAGAGAACTGCTAGCTGTTCAGAATAGCTGGCAGTTCCCTCTAGGTACCTGCACCCCTGGAGGTGGGAAGAGACTTCATGTGCTCCCTCCATCCCTGAGTCAATCAGGTCCTGGGGGTAGGGGGAGCTTTCTCGCTCCCTGCCCCCCACCTTGCAAGGGGTGCACAGCGCTTAGAGTGGACTGGTTGGGGAGCAGGGGAGCAGTCTGGAGTCCTCAGGCTGGTGAGAACTTGGGCACGGTGGGGAGAGCCAGGTTTAAAGCCGGCTCTTCACGAGCACTAGTTTTGCAGAGCTACCTCTCCCCCGCCCACATATCATGCTGTTGTCTCTGTATTAGAGGCAGCAGTGAGCGGGTAGGGGAGAGGAGAGGGGTAGGTGTGGTGCCAATGCAGCCTCTGTCTGCTGGGAGCTTGGGCCCCCCGTGGACAGTAGCTGCTGCCGTTCCACACTGCTGCCTCTGCAGCAGCATGGGGTGGCAGGCGGGAGTCGGTCTTCACAGGGAGCTCTGATACACAGGCAGTAACATGGGGTGGCAGAGGGCTCGGGGCCAGGAGTGCTGCCAGCCCCTCCCCTGTAGATCATTGAATAATTGTGTAACTACTACGATTTTGTGCAGTTACACGATTATTAATTTAAACAATATTTAACACCCCCTGTTAGGAAGACAATGCTGATCCCTATATTTTATTTTAAAAGATTTTAATTGCCCAGATTTTTTAAAAGATGCTGTTTAGAAACATTTGATCCTGCATTGGTGAATTTTTAAAAATGTATACTCAGAGAGCCTGCATGTACTTGGCAGCACATAAGATTAATCTGGAATGTACAGATATTTGGAATATATACAGTTATAACTGTGATAGTATCTGTAGTATTTTCATATACTCACACACTTCAGTGTTTCGTAATTTCCACTGATCAAAAAAATTATTCTTCACTATTGACCTTAGGCTGTTTTCCTAAGGTAGGCATAACTCTCATTGAAGTCAGCTGGGATTTTTACCTTCATGAAATTGGGGAGTATAACCTATGTATTCCTCAGACAGGAAGGACGTATTGGGCACATCAGCTGTGTTACATAATATTTTTATTAAAAGAAAGTATATAAAAGCAATTAGCCTTTGAAGAAGACAGATGCACTGAGTCAATGACTTTCTGCCTTTCAAATGTTAAACAGTATTTTGTAGTTAAAAGGTTAAAGTAAAATCCTTCGTAACATTCCAAAGAATGGAAAAATATATAGTTATAGATTTAAAAATGAAATTAGTTTGCTATATTTTAACTACTTTTGAGATATTTGTCACCTTATTAAATTCATGAAAAATTTGAGCTGTAAAATATATACAGTGGATTGATTCTGATTAGGGGCCTTTGGGCATCGCTGCAATGCAAATAATACCCAGTAAAAATTATTAATTAATGACTAATGGGGAGAGGAACAGAAACTCGGCAGCTCATATTTTTTATTATTTTAAAGAAGTAATAGCCTCAAATGCTGCTAAAATACATAACTACTTTTAAATGAGCCATTTTAAAATACATCATTACTTTTAAATGAGCCATTTTTCATCTCTTGGGAATCTTAAGGAAAAATTGTTCACTTGTAGCAAATTCTTTGCATTTGCCCATGATTTAGTCCCTGTATTTTTGGAGAAAGATTGGGAACAGGAAGGAGAGAAACAGAATGGACTCTGGCAATTTCGAACCAGTATAATGCCTCTCCAAAATTGTACATTTAGATCTTTCATTACTGAATTAATTTGCTCTCTTTGGCCTAAGCATTTAAAATAATGGTACTTAATTTTAAAAGAGTAAATCTGCAAACTGTGAGCTCGATCCTGCCCCCTTTCAACTTAATTTCAGTAGGGCCTGGATTAATTCTGATTCCCTCAAGATATTGCATGTATTTTGATGTTGTTTGACCCTGAGTAGCTAAACTGAAATCAGGCTATGTCTAGACTGCCGCTTTTGGGCAGAAAAACGTACGCAAATTGCACTCCACAATTAGCGTACCTTTTTCCGGTTGTTTTGTTGTAAGAGGCTTTTCCAAAATTTGGCCCGTCTACACTAGGCCAAATTTCGGAAAAACCTCCTCTTTTGGAAGAGACCTTCTTCCTCATGGCATGAGAAAGATAGGGCTTCCAAAAGAGCACATCTGCTCTTCCACAAAAAATGTCAGAAGAGCAGACATGTTCCCTTGACACGGCAGAGATTTTCTGGGATACCTCTGGTATCCTGGAAAATCTCCATAGTCTAGACATATCCTCAGCAGGAGCGGCCCAAGGCCGGCTGCAGCAGCTGGCACCCCCGGCGGAATGCGCGATCGGTGCCCCTGCCTGATGTCATCGGTGGGTGCCCTGGGCGCTCCCATGACGTCATCATCAGGCACCCTCGGTGGCGGCGCCCTAGGCAGCGGCCGAGTCCGCCTATAGCCACGGGCTGCCCCGATCATCAGTGATGGATTTCTTAAACAAACACCAAACCCTGTTTTCAATAGTGAAGATATTAGGCCCCAATTGTATAACTGGATCTATGCAGGCAAATCCCTGCAGTCTAAAGGAGCACCATTGACATTAAAAGAGCTAAATACAGGTGCAGGGGACTGCCCATGAAGATCCAGTTGCAGGACCACATCTTTAGCTATCAGTGTGACGGATGCCTTAGGAATACTTTGATATAAAAATGCTAGCAGAATGTTATATATATTTTTCAGGTTATTTTTAATAATGTCTTTCAAAGAATCATCATATTCTGGTGAAATCTTAAAAGATGAAGTATAGTAAAATGCATTCAACAATTGTATATTTTCTTCACCAAGAAACTTTTCACAGGCTGGTGTGAGTCATAATTCTCAGTTTCAATACAGCAAATAATTAAAGAGAAAAACCAGTCTTTAGTTTAAGGAGTTTAATTATGTTTACTACAGATGTTGAATTAATCTTAGGTTAAAGTGTTTGCCGGTGGTGCAAATCTACAGATAGATCATATCACAGAAGTGAAGCTAAGGCAAAAAATAACAAGCTTCAAATGCTGATTATAAGAGAGCTATATATAATCATTTTATTCTTTTTTCCAGGATGACCTCTCTTTGTGCAGAAATCTTAATGTCCTGTATCTGTATGATAACCAAATTAGACAAATCCATAACTTGGGCTTTGCTTCAAATCTAACACATCTCTACCTGCAAAACAATTGCATTTCATGTATAGAGAACCTCACATCACTGAAAAAACTTGAGAAACTGTAAGTGAAAATCGTTTATTATTTTGCAAAAGTAAAAAATTCTTTATACTATGTATTAATAAGACATTTAAGAAAAAAATTAAGCATTGAAGTCCTTTCGCTATAAGTAAGATAATATTGTGTCTCATCTGTGTCAAAGTCAGATCTGACAGTTAAAAGACAATAGTGGAAGACAGGTATATCAATCCTAAAATGGTGAAGGCTCAGGTTCTTTAGAGGGACTTGAGTCCAGTTAAGACCTTAAAAAACTGCTCTTCTGGGGAGAGAGAGAAGGATGCCAAACAAGCTGCAGCAGGTTTAGGGGTATTAGCAAGAAAAGGTTTCTTCTAGGTAGAAGGCTGCTCTTGTCCCTGTAGGGCAGTGGTAGTCATTTTTTGTTGCTGTCAAAGTCCAAATTTGTTGGTCAAGATATAGTTGAGATCCATACTCCTACAAAAATAATAGTGATAATAAATAAATTTTGGGGTAGTATGTAGTGGTCCAGATTTCACCCAGGGTCTGCCTATTGATTTCCCCAAGTAATGTGGGGAATAACCAAGTTTACTTCAGTTTGGGGAAGGGCTGGCAGCCAGTTGCCAACATAAGTCAATACCTTGAGAAGGACAAAGAAATGTATTTCTTTTGTGTTGTGTGTTTGTTTTTTATGCTGAAGAGAACTACTTGGGCCTACCTTGAGGCTCACCTTGTAAGTATTGGGGGGAAATGTCCAGATCATTCAAAACCTCCAGCATAGAACTGATTTACTTGAATTACTGCTGCCAAAGGCAGAAACTCTAGCTGATAAGGCAAAGGAGGAGCCTTGCCAAAAATCATAAGTACCCTTCATTGTCTATATAATATTTTCTTTCAAGTGTTTTGTGACCACATACTTTATATAGTGATGGATATTATTTGAAATTTAACATTAGACTTATACTGTCTATACAGAAGATCTAATAATGGTATTATCTGCAGAGTAATAGAATCAATATATTGGCATCTATTAATCTATAAATAGTACAGCCAGATACAAATCTATTTACATAGGAGTTCCTCAATTGAAATTCCTCATGATATTAATTCAGGGATAGGCAAGAGAGCCTCCGCAGCCTGGATACAGCCCGCCAAGCCGATTAATCTGGCCCACGGACACCCTGCTGCTCCCCCGCCTTCAGGCCAATCGAGACTTGGGTACAGGGCAGTGTGCAAAGTTACCTCCCCCCACCAGGGGTTCAGGACACCAGAGGGAACCGCCAGGTCACCCCTCACTCTAGGGCCACATGTCCCTTGCAGGTGGATGACGGGGTGAGAGACTTCGTATGCTCCCATGCCCCCAGGCCAATCACCCCCAGGGCACCTAGAGGGAACTGCAGCTATTCAAAACTGCCAGTGGTTCTCTCTAGGGGTATGTCTAGACTGCATCCCTCTGTCGGCAGAGGGATGCAGATTAGGCAGGTCGACATTGCAAATGAGGCAGGGATTTAAATATCCCATGCCTAATTTGCATAAAAATGGCCACCACGTTTTGCTGGCTCAGCACTTTGTCGGCAAAAAACGGCAGTTTAGAGGGGGATCTGTCTAGAAAGAATGCCTTTTTCGACAGATCCCTTATGCCTCCTGGCTGGTGTCCTGATGGGTATCTGCTCCAGAGGCTGAGAGTGGGACATGCCACATAGTGGGGGAGAAATGGGGGTTTCTGCTCTGGAGGTTGGGAATGTGTATGTGTGTTTGTTAATAAACTGGGTGCCATGGTGGCACACATCCAAACCAGTGCACATGACCTCAATATTTGTGCACAAGCCAAAACTCACTCCTTCACAGTTGGAAAATCTTAGAGGGAGTACTAGCGTAGGGCCACTTGAGAAATTTGTGAAGTGGCTCGCCTTCAAAAATGATTGTCTACCCCTGCATTAATTGCTATATTTAAATAATACCCAGGAGGGATTAATTTCTATTTGAGATGTGAGTGTGAATCTGCTCTTTTATTTTTCTTTTATCCTCTGTCACGTCCCAAGTGTGCCTTGTCCTGAGGCAGTGTGGCCCAATGGCTACCATATATAACACAGTCCTGGGGTATAGGGCAGCACATCCTAATGGCTAAAATCAATAGGAATAGCCCTTGGTTCAGGGCCACACAGCCTAATGGTGAGTTTGGAGCAATAGCCCCAGTAGGGCTCCCCCCCGCCCCCGAGTCCACCCTACTCCATCAGGCTCCAACCCAGGGCCCTGTAAGTGGCGGAGTGCTCCACCACTCACTCAGCAGGGAATACAACTGGAACCATCAAGATCACTTGGGTGGGAGATACCACTTCCCCACCTGGGTCACTTCCTACCAAAGTTGGCATGGGGATGCTCCACATGTTTTCTGGGTCCTCAAGTTCCACAGCAACAGCCTCCCTCTGGGGCTCCTCCAGAGCTGGCAGCTCAAGGCAGTCTCCCAGGTCTGTGGCTGGAGTGTCTCTGGGGCTCCCAAAAAAGAGCCTTTTCCTTCAGAGTCCTGCTCAGACTGAACTAAGCTGCTCCCTTTTATACTGCTCCAGCCCTTCAAGCATGCCCAGTGAGAACATAAGAACGGCCATACTGGGTCAGAGGTCCATCTAATCCAGTATCCTGTCTGCCGACAGTGGCCAATACCAGATACCTCAAAGGGAGGGATCACAACAGGTAATCCTCATGTGATCTCTCCACTGTCACCCCCCTCCAAAGAAACAGAGGCTAGGGATACCATTTCTAACCATCCTGGCTAATAGCCATTGATGGACCTAACTTCCATGAATCTATCTTGCTCTTTTTTGAACCCTGTTCTAGCCTTCACCGCATCCTCTGGCAAGAAGGTCCACAGGCTAACTGTGCGCTGAGTGAAGAAAAACTTCCTTTTGTTTTCTTTAAACCTGCTGCCTATTAATTTCATTTGGTGACCCCTTGTTCTTTTATTGCAGGAATAAGTAAATAACATTTCCTTATTCACTTTTTCCATACCAGTCATGATTTTATAGGTCTCTATCATATCCCCCCTTAGTCTCCTCTTTTCTAAGCTGAAAAATCCAAGTCTTTTTAATCTCTCTTCATAAGGCTGGGAGTTGGGACCTCTTCTGCCCATAGAGTATTAATCCTTCCTGGACCAGTGTGGGGCATATATACCCTGTCACACCCTCCAGCTATGTTAAGTCTCATTTATATTGTTTTCTGCAGGTATCTGGGAGGCAATTACATCACTGTAATTGAAGGCTTGGAAACATTAGAAGAACTGAGAGAGCTGCATGTCGAAAGCCAACGGCTTCCTCTTGGAGAAAAGCTCTTGTTTGATCCAAGAACTCTTCATTCTCTGGCAGTAAGTAGTATCTGTAAAGGGTTAATTTTTTTCTCTCTCCATGTAACTTAGAAAAAAGCTCAGTAAAAGCTGAACTGTTGCATTCTCACAAAGTCTAGCAACCTGGCTGTTTGTTTATTTATGGCATATATTTATTTATTAGCCTGAAGCTTATGTTTACACTTCCTGTATACAGAAGAAAGAAACAATATGTTGAAAAAATGTGAAAGAAGGTTTATCACAGAGAAGTCAGTTATTCAGTTCTTGGGTACAGAGCTTACAAAACTTTTTCAGAAGTGGCATGTAAAGTTAATAACCCATCAGCCAATGAATTTGACAGCATAAGGAAAATCCTTATGAAAGGTTTTTTTCAGTCTATGAAATATCATCAGTTTTTTCTTCAACCATCTTCAAAGTGATATCTTTTGTCCTTTTTCTACAAAGTTAATCACAGTATCTATTTTTGCTCTTCACTTTAGTTTCTCATCCCATCTGTTTTTGGTTGTCATGTATGGAAACAATGAAAGGGACAGAAATATGAGACCAGTCATCTCTCTGTTGATTATCAGCTATTGTTTTGCTGACCTGCAGTGATCCACGGACCACTGTTTGGGAAATATGGAGTTATTAATTGTGTGCACAGGAAGGATGGTAGAGCTAAAATTGCTCCCCTTTTCTGGAATGTAGAGCTCACTCTTCCAATCAAATTCTGGGAGGGATTTAGGTTTTGAAATTTGCATTGCTGAAAAACCAGTCAGTGATCATTCAATAATTAGCCCCTTTTTTAGACTAGATTTAAATATGTTAGTTAGTTGAAGATACCTTTTTTCCAGTTCCCAAATGCATAAGTGCTTTTTTTCTTTGACATAAAAGTATATAATAATTTTCTAATTGGGATAAATGTTATCTGGGATAGAACAGCGGGATCACCATAGGTGCTGCAAAACAGTGTTCCATGATGGATTGCCTCATACTGGTCTCCAAAAAGTTGTACTTTACAAAAAAGCCCAGGTCATGATAATTCATTGTTGGACCCATCAAGTGGATAGGTTTCAAAAGAAAGGTTAAGGCAAGAGGACTGTACATATGAAAAGGAGTATACATATGAACAAGGTTTGTGAGGGTTGGCAGGTATCAGGAGTAAAATTCAAGTTTATATAATACCCATGCCCCAGATATGGAATTAACCCCATTATTCAAAATTTTACAGCTTGTTTTTTTTTACTCTTTAGTGCTGTTGATTGATGCAAGTTTCATAATTCACATGCAGATTTCTTACCTGTGAGCTACAAGATTTCTCCTCCCACAACAGCTTACTTTATTTAATACTAAATGCCAAGTATAACTTATATCAGAGGGGTAGCTATGTTAGCCTGAATCTGCATAAACAACGAGAAGTCCTGTGGCATCCAGTCAGATGAATCAGAGACTTCCAATTGTAGGTAAGTGATTATTATGTTATTGGAAATGGCACCAAGTAACCCAGAAATTCCAGTGCAAGTTAGGCAACTAAATAACTTTGAGAACAACGAAAAGTCCCGTGGCACCTTATAGACTAACAGATTTATTGGAGCATAAGTTTTGGTGGGCAAAGACCCACTTCGTCAGAATCATGTAGTGGAAATTCCAGAGGCAGGTATAAATATACAGGCATAAGAAAAGAGTACCAATCAAAAGTAAGGCTAGAGATAACGAGGTCAATTCACGCAGGTTATTTCGAAATAAACTATTTCAAAAGAGTTAATTCGAAGTAGCTTATTTCAAAATAACGCATCTACATACAAAATGTATTTCGAAATAGCATTTTTCTATTTTGAAATAGCATGTCCACACTGAGTGAATGTTGAATCGCATTTAAGGCTGGTTGGAACTAGTTCTGTCTGGGCATCAGGTCAGAAGTTGCCTTGTAGCCGGGACGGCCAGCAGGGCACTCTGGGAAGGGCAGGAGGCCCCCTATTTCGAAATAAATGTCTACACAGCGCTTATTTTGAAATAGCAATTTCAAAATAGGCACTATTCCTTGTGGAATGAGGTTTACCAATTTCGAAATAAGCCCTCTGCTATTTCAAATTAATTTCAAAATAATGGAATGGCTGTGTAGACACTAGGAAAGTTATATTGAAATAACTGCTGTTATTTCAAAATAACTTTGCTGTGTAGACATACCCTCAGGGAGGATGAGGCCCACTTCTATCAGCTGATGTGGAAGCCAGCATGGATTTGTAAAGAACAAATCATGTCAAACCAATCTAATAGCTTTCTTTGATAGGACATCAAGCCCTGTGGGTAAGGGAAAAGTGGTGGATGTGGTATACCTAGACTTTAGTAAGGCTTTTGACATGGTCTTGTATGACCTTCTTATCAGTAGACTAGGAAAATACAAACAGATGGGGCTACTATGAGGTGGGTACATAACTGGCTGGATACCCGTTCTCAAAGAGTGGTTATTAACAGTTCACAATCATGCTGGAAGAACAGTTCACAAGCATTCTGGTGGGATCCTTCAGGGGTCTGTTTTGGGACCGGTTATGTTCAATATTTTCATCAATGATTTAGATCAGTATTTCTTAAACTGTGTGCCATGGCAAACCAGTGTGTCACGAGACAGAGGTGTACCACAGCCTCTTTTAACTTTTTAACACGCGGCAAAGGAGCCACGACTGCTTTTTTTTGTTTGTTTGTTTGTTTGTTTGTTTTGTTTGTTTTTTGTTGCTTAAGAATTTTCCCCAGTGTTCCACATAAAAAAATGATTGTTTGGTGTTCTGTGGTCTTGAAGTTTAAGAAACATGATTTAGATGATGGCATAGAGAGTACGATTATTAAGTTTGCAGATGATACCAAGCTGGGAGGGGTTACAAGTACTTTGGAGTATAGGGTCAACATTCAAAATGATCTGGACAAGCTAGAGAAATGGTCTGAACTAAATAGGATGACATTTAATAAGGACAAATGAAAAGTACTCCACTTAGGAAGGAATAATCAGTTTCACACATACAGAATGGGAAGTGATTGTCTAGGAAGGAGTACCTCTGAAAGGGATCTATGGGTCGTAGTGGGCCACAAGTTGAACATGAGTCAATAGTGTGACACTGTTGCAAAAAAAAAGCAAACATGATTCTGGAATGCATTAACAGGAGAGTTGTGAGCAAGACACGAGTAGTCATTCTTCCGTTCTACTCTGTGCTAATTAGGCCTCAACTGGAGTATTGTGTCCAGTTCTGGGCACCAAATTTCAAGAAAAAATGTGGAGTACAGGCAGTCCCCGGGTTACGTACAAGATAGGGACTGTAGGTTTGTTCTTAAGTTGAATTTGTATGTAAGTCGGAACTGGTACATATTGTAGGGGAAACTCTAGCCAAACATTTCTCCAGAGCTCAGTTTTATTCTCCCACACCTCACTTCCCTCAGGGTATTATTCTCAAACTGAGGTGTCTGCTGAGAAAAGCTGCTCCGCATCTCCCTGGTCTGCTGGGGG